GAACTGAAGACAGAAGCAGTATTGGTACTGATGGGAAACCATGATTATAGGTAATGCAGCACAGTAGCACAAATAGCATTTTTTTTTTTTTTTCGGAGAAAAAAACTATTACAAATTGATTTTTTTCAATGTGTCAAGTTAAGCCTTTTATGATACTCAATGAAATAAACTGTGGGCTCTCCACACGTGTACCACCACTCTGTATGCATGTGGAATGTACAGTCTCTCTGAAATTAGATTAGGATCTCAAGGGCAGAGACTTTCTCCTTTGTTTGTGCGTAAATCTTTGTGTGATGTTTTAACACCTCGTAAATAATATAATAGGGCTCTGCTCATTTTCTTACTTGTTTATATATGAGCAGTCTCTGCCACTGGAATTGACTCAGATTAACTCAATATGTGAAAATGAAGGTTGGATATGGGAGATTTGTCTGATGCAAATCTTCTATTCTGCACAAGATCTAACTGGGAACTCTAGGTGAAGCAGCTCTTCTAGACTCTGAAAATGCTTACTTGCTTGTAGTTGCTTTTCCCACCCACTAGAAATTGTTTAAAAGGAGCTGGAAGATTGGAATTCACAAGAAAAAATATGACTAAAAATAACCACATGATGAACACTGCTCCTTGAGAAAATACAGATCACTCTTGTTCAGGGTGGATGAAAAGATAATTAGAGTGTTATCTTTGAAGGTCAACTGTTGTCTTATTGCTGGTCCAGCTCTCCAAGCAGCCTTCCCATGACGGCCTCTTGGTGAGAGACATAAACGTGTGGAGCTTGTGCTGTTCTTAGCTTTTTTTTTTTCCATTGACAAGAGCGAGGTAACCTACCACCCTTTATTGTTCTTGTCAGCCCAGGAACACTGACTGTGGCATTAAAGATATCCTGAAGAAACAGAATTTCAGGCCCTGGTAATCTCTTTTCTGCTCTAGTACCTTCCACCCTTGGGGCAGTTACCATGTATGACATTGATGTATTGGCATAACTGTTACTTCAGCATGTTGCTTGCTATGCTCTGTATTAAATTCAAGGTCCTCTCTCATCTGCAATGTCAGATCAAGCCCTCTGATGTCTTAGCATTTAAATTTTTATAAGTATGAGGCTATGGTGGAAGAAACTGATTGTAGGGGCACAACGGTGCTTCTCTGCTTCTTTGCACTGGTGATTCTCACGCAGTGTTGTGAGATAAGCTGCTTTACTCCAACAGTTTCAACTACAGAGTACCCAACTACAGGGAAAGCTTGACACCCGAATGGTTTTCTTTTGTCATTTATATTGACTTTCAACCTGTTTTTACTTTGTGGGTACTGCAGGAGCTGTAACGCTGGCATAGAAAAGAATGCTTGAAAAGGACAGGATCTATCTGGAAGGGTATGGTGTTGTCACAGCTGCTGTCCCAGTGTCATGAACCTGGTGAAATGCAGTCTCTTTCCTCAGCAACACACACCTCCTGGGGTGGTGCTGTGATGAAGGCAGGGGAGGCAGCTGTCCTTCTGTTGGACTGTTAGGAACAGCTGTGCTGGATCAGAATAAAAGTCAAAGAAAACTTCCACGTGGGTCAGCGTCCCCATCTCTGGAAGTTGCCAGCAATAGACTCTCATGAAAAGTCTGTAAGAAACAGAGAAAGCCCAGAGAGATACCTCCTGAGAAACCTTCCCTGCATACAACCGTAAGAACTTCCTGCAGCAGTGCTCATTTTGACCTCTACGATTCCTCTATGATTCCTGTGATTTTACATTTTATAAGCAAATGAGATATCCCAAATTCTAACCACAGTGAAAGCAACAGTTTATAGAGACTTAAAACACAGAGACTCCTACCTGCTCTGTGTCCTGTCTCTCGCTCCTGCTCTGCAGTAGTTACTACAAGCACTCTCTGTAGGGTTTCCCATTTTGCAGGATCTGACTTTTGTCTAGCAGGCAAAAGTACTGAGCATGCTTAGTTTGCAAGCTATTCTGACACGTTTGCTTCACTAACTACATGTTGCATGCTTTCTGCAGCAGGTTGGGAGAGGAGAATGAAAGCCCACAGCAAAGATTAGCTTAAACCTTTTCCCACAGCTTCAGGCAGCCCTTAGGTGCATCTTTAGGAATTCAGTTGCTGTGCCTATTGTTGCAATGGGTGTTGATGGTTCCAGTGCAAGGGAGATAGACATGGAAGAACTGCTAATTGCCTGGCCCTGTGTGAGCAGTTTATCTTCATTGGTATGGGGATTTCCCTCCCAAGTAGAAGGAGATACTTTTAAACCATCATCCTTGGTGACTAAAGCAGTGCAACTCTTGTCCCTGAGGTTCAGCTTCTAGTTTAAAAATGTCATGGACATATTCATTGGAAGACATTCTTCACACAGTGGGTGCAAATCAGAATAGCACTGGCACTGTGGCATTTAATCAGAAGCAGTCACTTAACACAGTACTTAATTGTCGTTACATGAGTGAGTCAGCTCATCGCAGGCTAGCACCTAATATCTGGCTGCCTCCTACACAAATCTTTATTCTCTGGCTGGGTTTTTTTTATGTCTGACTGTTGCAAAAATGAAATCAAAGACTGATTCTGGCTAGCGCTGCGCTGCATTTCCTCTTTTCTTTGCTGTATTCAAGATACCGCTTTCCCACCCACTGCTTTTTCCCATCAGGGTCTGTCACATGATAAATCTACTGAAAGTCTTACATTAATCATGCCCTTGTGAATTATCCAGCAACATATTTCCTCTGTCAGTCAGACTCCTATTTGAAACGACAAAGCCTGTTTGCTTAAGACTACTGCATTATCACTGATTGCATTCTTACTGGCTTTGATAAATGCATTTAGACTGGTTCATTTGTAACTCCACAGCACATATTTCCTCCTTTCTCTAATTCTTGAAAGGTGGAAGTCCAGATGAAGCACAGGCAAAGTTGTCCATAGCTAATTTAGAAAAGCCTGCTCTTGGCTGTAACTATGCAGCAGTGTCCTGCCCTCAGAATTACTCAGGATCCTGATTAAGTTCACCATTACAGTATGATGCTAGTACTATAATGTTAGCATTAAGTAACCCTAAATGTATTTCTTTTGTTTAAGAGACTGTCTTAAATTGATTGAATTAAATCAGAGCAATAACTCACGGGATGCATTGCACCTGCAGGGTTTTCATTTTTTCTTTATGAAGACAAACTAATTAACTTAATAAGTGCAGTGCCAAGGCTTTATGTAAAGAAATTAATATGATAAGGTATAGAAGAAAAAAGTTAGGAATTAGATTATTTTAATGGAAGCACTTTCTTGTATGTGGGTTAAAGAGATCATTTACATTCTCAGATACCCTGATGCAACCCCCAAATTTATATATCCCTTTCCCATGCCGTGTCCTTAATGTTTTATTTTTCCTGTACATGAGACTGATCCATACTCTCTCGAAGTGCAAGTTCCCCTGCTATCTTCAAAGGAAATGCTCTGCAAAGTGCTAGTCACGGGCCTGCTTCTGAACACAGTTAACCTGAGGGAATGGAGGAATACCTCCACCCTTGGGGAGCTGCAATGAAATACTGAGCACTGTAAAGATTTTTTGTAAGCTACTGGACACAGAAAAACTTCTAAATACCTACTGGTTTGTATTCGTAAGCGGCAAAACTCAAAACCTCTTCAGAGTCAGCCAGCAGTGCAGCTGGTAGAGAAACATATCCAAATTTTGTCTGCTTAGGACTTGATCATTTGGTGGTAGATGCCACAAACTGATAACAGGTTTTGCTTCTGTTGAATGCAGCTAGGGAGAGGTAACCTGTGAAACACCACAGCACCTGGCAGCACTAATCTTCACTATGAAAACACACATTTAAGAAGTGAATACTGATACTGGGCGAGGGCACAGCTGCTAGCCTTGTATATTTTCCAAAACTGGAAGTGGGAAGCGTAGTAATAATGCTATGAAACTGTTTCTAACTACTTTCCTGTTGAGCTAGATGAGAACACTTATTCCTCCTACCACCACAGCCTTTATGGCAGGCTATCATTTTCTCTTAACCACTTAATTCCCTTCACATTTTCAACACTGCACTGAGCTATTTTTCTGATGCTCCATTTCCTTGTACACACCCCAAAATTAGAAGCCAGTAGGTACGCCTTCTGTCTCTAAGCAGGCAGCTTCTGTCACTTCTGTTAATTTCCCATTACTTTGCAGCTGCTTTGTAGAGAGCACTCCTCTCAGCAGCAGCAGTGCCACCAGCACCTCTCGTGTCTGCAGTATGCACACTGATACCCCTTCAGATGTGATTAAGTACTCTTGCAGTTCATGATATTTTTCCCTGAGTTCCTTGTTGCAGGCTGTGCTTTTTGTACCCTAAGGGTAATGGCTCCATGGATTGCAGGACTCTTTTAATTCTGAATATTTTCACTTGTTGTCAGGGTCCTCAGGGCACCAGCAGGCCTTGCTGTGATGACCACCATAGCCATAGGTCTCGTGGGTTTCACAATGGACTCACATCCCAGTTTGGCCCTGGCACAGGACCTGGCTGGCCCACCAGGGGAGATCCTAAGCTTGGCCCCAGGGAGCTGCTGGTCTGCAGTGCCCTGACGTGAAACTACATGGTCTTTGTTTTCCAGTTTTATTTTTGACTCATATTTTGTTATTTCTATCATCATCACAGTGTGAAACTATTGTCCATGTTCCCTAAGCTTTACCTCACTTTGTGTTGAGTTCCTGTGTTTTTACAACTCCTCTAGCAGTTTGGGGTTTTTTTTTTCTGTTTTTTTTGGGTTTTTTTTTGGCACTCAAGCCAAAGACATGAGCATGACCTGAGTCCTGCTGGGATTTCAGTTTCTGAGAACTACCCCATTTCTTTGCAATACAGTGTGCATAGACATTTTGGATTCCCTGCCTATTGCTTAGAAACATCTCTGCCAGGTGTTTATCTGGTATGCAGACCTCCTCCAGCTCCTATAATTGCATTTCATAACCTCCTGTACCCAAAATAACTAAAAGCTCTTTAAAATGTCAAATGATCAGAGTCAAAGCCTGTCAGGAATGGAGCTTGTCAGAGACAAAGCTATCTTCTGATTGCCTCCACTTTGCTGGCATCCATTTCTTACAGGTACAGAATGAGGCTCTTTTCAAATCCTTGGCAGCAGCCTCCTGTCTTTCTCTCCATTTCCCATGAATTTCAGCTCTGATTGAGATTTGCATTGTTTCATTTTCATAAGGTGTATAGGAACTGCTGAGTCACAGCCTGAACTACTGATTGATCACCTGAGGCAAGGACTGAGTCAGCCCTGGGAGCACAGGTGAGGGCAATTCAGCTGTGTGATCAGAAGGGGTGGGACTCCCCGTCCTAGACCCCATTTAAGGGCTGACTGGCACAGGGAAAGGGTCTCTTCATGGAGTTCCTTTCTTCTGGAGTTTTCTACTGTGCACCTAGGACATAGGTAAGCCTTTCATTGCTTACAAAATGCCTCTTTCCACTGTGGTAATCTTTCAAATTAAAAGCCTGTAAAATACTCTCCTAACTATGCCGCTGTTCTAACTATATGTTTATTAATTGTACATAAGGTATTTTCTGAGTTTGATTTGCCTTAAGGACTCTGTGCTATTTGGCAAACACTTGCACCTAAGGAGGCTAATGATAGTTTGCTCTGTCTAGGGTGGAGCTCATAATCAAATGTTTTACCTTGGTATGGTATCTTCCTTTCCCAGGGCCCTTCAAATATGTGCTTTCTCACTATCTCATTGCTGTTGTTTGGGCATATAATAGTTATCATAATATTCACTTGGAAGATCAGCTAAAACAAGGCTGGCCTTGAAATCGTCTTACTTACACTTGCTGTAAGATTATTTCTGCGTTAGTTTGTTTCTCCTTAAATCATTACCACTGTTTTCAATTGTATGAGGTCCCCTGTTTTCCCTTCCTGGAGATCTGTGTATCCCTCTGCCCTACTAGTCGCAGTACTGGGCCAAATCAGCTTGTGAACTATCGATACTGCACCACTTCTACAACACATTTTCTGTTGTTTAGAAGTGAATGTTCAACGTATTACTTTTTAGCCCCTGGGCTACAATTTTTTTAAGTAACATTAACTTCCTTTCTGCTTTTACATGCAAGCTACCTATGTAAAGGAAAATCTGAACCAAGACCTCCTTTCCACATGCTTCTCTGCACATCTAGGGGAGTAGTATCTGGGTTACTCTGAGTGTGAAGCCCTTTATTTCTTCCTCTGATAAAAGCAAGAGTGAGAGAGAGTGCTACAGGATGAAATGAGAGATAACAACCCCTACCAATAATTATTCTTTTCCTAGAAATAGTAATTTGTCTAACTTGTCTAGTGCCTTCTGATGACAGAGAGGTTGTAAGATACAGACCCAGCTTCTGTTCAAATCTCAAGGTGAACTGAATGCTGTTAAAATTTCAGAACTTGGTATCTCATTCAGGACTGCTCTACTGGCTGTTCCTGTGCGATGTGATATTTGTATACAACTTTGCAGTATTCTGATTGAGAAAACTCACTGCTTTTTGTGAGTCAGAGCTTTCACTGAAAAGGCTAGTTTAAGCCAGCACTGCCCTCTTCTGGAGGTGACAGCAGGCCTTCGCATCAGAAGTGATGGTATTTATCAATATCAGCTTCATTGGGAGCATAGCACTGATTCAGCAAAATACTTATTCATCTTGTGCATGCAATGTAAAGCATGTGAGTAGTTCTGCTTAGATGCTTTAAGATGTCAAAGTGTCAAACTGAAGCCGTAGTAAATATTAAGTCATAATAAGTGATATAAATAGCTTCAGTAGAAACACACACATCAAAAGCACATAGTATCTAATCTAGTATCCATAAATGTTTCATAAACCTTACTTCTTTCTGGCAGGGTCCAAGTCACAAAAGAGAATAGACACTTGTAGTTGCTGGAGGTGGTGGCTGTAAATCTCAGTTTCCTTGTTAGGAAGAAGCCCAGGTGGACGCAGTGTCAGTGCTTGTTATGTGCAATCTGAATGCATGCTGTGAGGTGCTGTGCTGGTCTCCTGGCAATGCCCGTGAGGGTCCGGGTGTGCCTGGGATGTGTGCATAGACCTGACAGCTGGTGGCAAGGACTTTGAGTTGCACAGCTGTAGTCACAGCCAATACTTTGTGTAGGTGGTGGTTGTGAAGGCCTTGGATTTTAAGCTACAATCAACTTGCTTAGGCTTTTTGAGGGAAATTTATCTTATGAGCTGTGATGTGCTCGAGTGGCTGTAGAGACTGAGAAGCAGAGTTAGATTAACTTTAACTGTCACCATGACCAGATTTCTCTTTGAATATTTGATGTTGTACATCTGTAGCCCGGAGAAATTTGTACCTTTCTAAAAGTGCTGAGTTTCCTGAAAAAAATGATGTCAATGTGAAATATGGTGCTCTATCACTCTGTAGCAATTTCACCCATGAAATACTGCTTTTCAAGAGTTAATGATAAATGTTGTGCAAGATCTAATGTATGTTCTAATGCCATTGCCATACTAAGTGACTTCCACTGTTGTTCAGTATCTCATAACTTGGGCTACCTGATAACTAATTCTCTAAGACAGTATGGTATATTTCTTTAAATACGTATGTCTGCCAGGATTGCTAGCAAGTAAGAAGTATATTGATATATAGTAGAGTCTGAATTTGATTATTTTTCACAATTTTTTCCCATGACTTGACCTGTCCTGACTTTTGAATATACTTCTGCTCCAATTCTGCCTCCCTGATGTCATCACTGTGTCAGTAGTTTCCCTTCCTTATTAGTAAAGTTGATCTATTGAAATTACATTTAAATGGCTTTTACTGGAAATAAATTAAGTAAAACTACAGGTATGCTTTATATAGCATTAGTCCTAATGGGGATAGTCAGGTACCAATTTCTGACAGTAGTATCAATAATGTTTTCAGTAGACTTTCTAGTATTTGGGGATTTGAAAAGCTATGGGTTTGCATACAGAATCAAGGACGATCTTTGGCCCCTCTTGTTTTTTCCTTAACCATCTATAACAAGCTTCTGTAACAAAATGGCTGTTCAACTCCAAGCTAAGGGAGATCTCTTGAAAAAGGAGACAATGCATCAGAAAGGCTGCATGCTGCAGGTCTGCTCTGCATTAGCAGGTCTTAGAGCTGTGATTTGCCTTCATGTAAGCATATTGTTCTTTTATCTGACAGAATGCTGTTAATTTCTGCTGTACCATATTGGAAGATGGAAAGGTTTTTTGCTCCTATGTGGTTTATTATAATACAGGCAAGAGCTGTGAGGGTTTTAAAAATAATGTTTGGCCTTCATTATGTCAAGATTTCATAGTGTTTTGTACAGATTTTTAAAATATTTCTGTGGTTATTATGAGCAGGCAATTACTATGGAAATTATAGACTGCGCTAGAATGTTTGGAGTGAGAAATTATAGATAATTTCTGGTATGTTGGTCCAGTTTCTATGGTAATCTGAATAAGTGTGAATTAATTGCCTGTTGTTGCCATGGTTCTTTATGGTAATTCCAGATCGTTAATGTTTGAAATATACCAAGTTACATTTTATTCATGTTTTTAGGACTTGTTAACATACCTCTTAGGACATTCCAAAGATTACTGTCATCTCATTTACCCTGCTCTTGACTATCTGAGGATGTTAACATGAGGAGTTGGAAGATAATCTTCTTAAAGAAAATCCCTTGAACAACACCAGTTTTTACTTTATGGTCCAAGCAGAAGTCTATTAAGGCCAATTTCCCATTACTACTGTAGGCTCTAACTGGGGCCTATATTCTTTTATTTGCAGCGGTGAGTGACAGGCCATTGTTTTTCACTTCCAATTATTTTCTGCTATTGTTAACAGATAGAACTGCTATTAGCTTCAGAAATGTCTTGTTGAAGTAATGACAAAGTCAGTGCAAAACCAACATTCAGATCCTCCTAAACAGAAATTTGAAAGGGGAAAAGAATTTTGGGAAATAAATGTATTCGCACTGAAAAGAAAGCATTTCCTGACCAGTGTTATCTTCGTGTCTGCTAGATCCATACTGGTGGGTAATGACAAACAATCACTGTGTGCTAAATAGAAAGGTATAGCAGTGAAAAACTTGCTTTGCTCTTTTTTTAGGAACTAGTCATGTCTGAGGAAAGAATTCATGGGGAAGGTAAGGTATCATCAAAGGATGAGATCTATATTCTTTTTGTGTTTAGCAATGCATCAGCTAAGTATGTGCTATAGTGTAATAGTGTAGACTGCTATCCACTATGTTATTAACTCTTAGCCCTGTGAGCTTCGTAACAGACTCAGGCCCTGCTTTGTTACTCAGATGAAATTATGTGGAAAGAACTTGGCTACCTAAGCATCTATCTCTTTACATCATGATACTTTTATGATAATGATACTCTCATATTAGTCCTCAGTAGTTACATACAACCTCTAAATTAATTAATGCTATTCAGATTGCAAACTCGAGTGTTCAGGAAATGCCAATTGAGTTTATAAATGACAGAATTCAGGTATTTGCCTATGGAGGCTTAACTCAATCCCCTTGTGCGTAGGCTTTGTTATCCAGCCTTTGGTTACATGATCACATACTGTTTTTCCCACATTCAGTGCCAGGATGGCCAGTGCTGTCTTTATGAGCCAGTTGTAATTGATATTTTGCAATCACACTTAGTGGTTGGTGCCAGGATTATTTATGATGTTCCAGCGAGATACTGTGGATGTGTTAAATTCCTATTATTTACATGGACAGCAAATATACTTATCACCAGAACGTTCTCAGAAAGGTGGCATTTAAAAGAGAGAAAAGAAACTTGGGAAAGTTGACAGATTCACCATGGTGACTCTTCAAAATCCCCATTGTCCTGAAAAATGTAGAGCAAGTGGAGAACTTTTTTTTTTTTAAATATCACTTCAGCATTCTAGAAAGAATGAAAGAGATTTGTTTAACATTTCAGAAGAAATCTTTGAAACTTCTTTGACAGCATTATATCTTTAGTAACAGTATTAAACTAGAAACTCCAGAAAAGGACAAATGATTAACACACACATTGCCGTACCTCACAGTTATTAGACTGAACAAAATGGTTTGAGGCAACCTTTAAATAAAGTGTGTTGATGCTTGTGATTGGAAAATATCTGTTTTGATTGGATTTTAACCAGTTTCTTGTTGTCTTCCTTGTTTTAGTTGGTGTGTTCAGAAATCAGTTCTTTTTGCAATAAGGTGTAACAGTGATTGATAACAGTGGTAGCCTCTCTATTCATGAAAAAGAAATTGCAAAGTGATTTTGTTTCTGGGTGTAGGTACTTATTGATGGGAAATAGCTCGTTTCAGTGTAGGAGAGCTTTTCAGCATAGCTTACAAAAGTGTAAGAAGATCTAAGGATGGAATTTAAGTTCTGTCATAAGTAAAAGGCAATTGCTTAGCAGTGACCTCAGAAATTATTACTGAAGCTGTTATGGTAAGTCACTATTTCTTGTGACTCTTCAGAGTGAAATAGAGTTTTGTTTTTTGTTTGTTTTAAATGCCTTATTTTTAGCAGGTCTTAAAGTCACTTTTGAGTGGGGGGGAGGGGGAAATTCCAGCTAATCCACTTTTTTTAAGAATGCTAGAGTGCCTGGACTCAGTGCTCCTGTCTGCTTTCGTGGAGGTCAGACCTCCAACATTTATGCTTTTTATAAGTTTTTAATATTACCTGAATTGATGATAATGCTACCTGAATTGTCTTTGACATAGACCTAGCATTTACAGCTCCATATGAGAGTTACTGAATGGTTCAAAAAGAGAACATGGTGCTTGGTTCAAAAAGAGAACATGGCTTTAAAATTATCTTCTGAGGGATTCACCCAAAACAGTGAAGACCAATGCTTGCAGCTGCCATTGCACACTTGTAGTTCAGTTGTATTTTTTTTACACACTTTCTTAGCTTTGGGTGCTTTAATGCCAAAGTAGAGAGATGCATTTTGTAGTAAAAGAATGCAACCATTTTCTTCTTTGTTTCTTGTCACCTAGATACCTTCTCTAAGTTTTCCTTAGTCTACTGTCTTAAGAGATAACAAAAATAAATAGATATTTTGAGATTGCGATGTCTCATATATTGCATGTCAGCTTGTTGTGACATAGCTTACAGCATCATGTCATGCACCTTTTCTACTGACATAATAGGATATAGACAAGTAAGAGTGAAATGAAGACAGACTGAAACTTGTATATTTGCATAGACTGATATCACAGTATTTTAAATACTTTCTCAGAAAGAAAATGAAAGCTTCGAAAAATACTGGTGATGTTGGGAAGTGGTTCCTCCAGGTTTAACCCAGTGGTTTCTATTCCCAGAGACCAGCTGGTGGCAGAAGAATGCAACCAACACTTCCCGAACTGTCGTTGCTGCTCCTGTCTTTCATGTGGTGGAGGGTCTGCCTTTTATCATAAAAATACGCAGGTGTCTGGGAGGCATCTTCTTTGACACTATGGTGTGTGAATTAAAAACAAACAAACAAACAAAAAAAACAACCAAACAAACTATAAATGTTAATGAAAGAAATATAAATGTGTAAAATGCCACAGCAACCTGTGGGTTTTCTTCTTCCTTTGGACTCCTGACCCCTGTGTATCATTTGTGGGTCTCTGAGGCCATCAAGTATTAACCATGTTATCTTGAGGGGATGAGACTCTATAGAAAATCATAGCTACTTTCACCTCTCCTTTCAAAAGAGTTGTCCTTGGCCCTGGCTGCTGCTACTGATCTTGGAAAATAACCAGCATGCATAGTCATAAGTCATTCCTTCCTCCTAACTATGTGAGGAAAAAATAACTGTGAGGGGGGGAAAAAAATCCAAGGGTGGTACACCTCACTATGAGGACAGGAGAGCTGTGGCTGTTCAGTCTGGAGAAGTCTGTAGCAGATTTCCATCTTGCATCCCTCCTTTAGATATTGAAGGAATCTGACTCTTCAGTGTGATAGGTTGAGGGGAAATGGTTTCAAGCAGAAAGAGGGGAGACTTAGATTGGTTAAAAAGAGGAAGTTTTTTATAGTGATGGTGGTGAGGCACTGGAAAATGTTGCCCGGAGAAGTGGTGGATGCCCCATCCCTGGAGACACTCAAGGTCAGGCTGGATGGGGCTTGATGACTCTCTTCTTTATGCATTGAGCATCTCATCAAGTCTTTTTATTGCAGCATGAAAATCTGCATGTAATTGTTTGTTCACTGTGGCCATGAGAATTTTCCCCCCCCTCATCTTTCAATTACATAAGGCATAGATTGCTCTGACAGGAGAGCATGATACTCTATATTTTATTGTGCCACTCACTGAATTCTATGTGCAGAGATGATTTTATATTAATTTCTGAATAACTGATAAACGTATATGTAAGTAGAGATTGATCTTCTGAGGTACTGAGAATACAAATACTGTGACTAATGTTTCTAGTGTAGGAAGAGCCTGTTCGCCTATGAGTTTGGAACAAAAGTGTGCATGCCTGGGTACTCTTGCAGCCTAGGGCTGTAAATGATCAAAAACCTCACAGATTTGTATTTTAAACAGTTACTGGAGTACTGTAATCAATTGCCCTATCATTTAGAAAAGAGTAAATACATGCAGATTTGAATCCTATTGAATACTCATGGAAAACTGAGTCACAAATTCAGAGAAAGACAGAGATAGGAAGAGAGGCCATCTGGAGATGACCTGGTCCAATTCCCTATTCAAGAAGAGTCTGCTGGAGTATACTAATAAGAATTGTGCATCTTGTTCCAACACTGTTGGAAACATTGTTTCAGTGTGGGGCTGGGCTGCCTCCTGTGCTGCCGGGTGCCAAATGCTCTTCCAGGGGCACTTTCTCTCTTTTCTGCATCTTCAAGACAGTTTTGGAGCAGCCCAAAGCACGTATGTACATCCTCCCTAACTACTTAATTCCTTTGGGAACTTTGTGGCGTTTGAAATGCAAGACTTATGTTTGGGCAGTTCCTCTACATGGCTTAACGAAGTGCAGGAGAACTGCAGGTCCATGAGGATCAGTTCCTATTGGGATGCTGTTCTCTCTTTGTTCTTCAGAAGCAATTTCTTCTGACGTTCAGTGGATTAAGTCAACAACTGTCTTTGTCTGAGTTCACTTTCTTTAATGTTTACTTAACAGCAAGTGCTCTCTTTCCTCTTTCTTAGCATCTTCTGGTATTTTTCCTGCCTCTATGGGATTACTGTTGCAAAATGTCATTAAAATCCAGTGATTTTTGTCACAACAGTGCTGATAACACTATTCCAATTTCTCCATAAGAGGACCAGCTCAGCTTTCTGGACACAGTTTATTTTGCTAAGCTGAGAGTCTGAGTGACACTGAAGGTTGAAATAGAAAGCATGATTGTGTATAGTTGAATAAGACTGAGATTCCAAGAATGTACATAGCTATAATACAGTTCTTAACAGCTTATTTTAAAGAAAATCTCAAGAGAAAATGAATCCTGTTTTTATGTTCTTTTTTAAAAATGTTAAAACAATAAAGGTATTCTAATGTATATTCCACAGCCTGTCACAGGTGTTTTTCCAATCAGATATTTTTATTTAGCTGAGAAAATGACATCTTCCTCCTTTCTCACAGGCCAGCAGTCACGAAGGGCTCATTGGAGTCTTCTCACTTCCTGGTCTTGGAGCCACTTGCATGATGTAAAATATTCTAGCTCAGACTTATCAGGAAGCTTTATTTTTGGCTACAGAAGAGGAATAAAAAAATACTGAAGCTGTTCCATTCTGGTTAAAATACAAGCATATAAATTAGCACTCCCAACTAACTATATAAAATGGCAGTGTTTAACGATCAGAGCCCCCACAGTCTGGTGGAGAGCTTGTGAGATACAGATTGCAGTCGCTTTGCAGCAGAGCTTACACTGACTCTAATGGGAATCACATGCCTCTCAGGAGGGCAGTAGTAGTCTGAAGAAAAGTCTCTCAAAGAAATACAATCCCAACAGTGTTTTGGTGTTGCTGTGCAATGTTACGTCTTGGGAGGATGGAAGAGAGCATCAGATTGTACAGATGTGGAAAGTGAGAAACAAGGGAAAAAGGTCACAATGAAGGTGAAAATGAGTATATTTTAATAAATAAGGGCAAAAGTGAAAAGCAGTGTTCTATCTTGTGATAGGTGCCTGTGATAGAAACTTCCATGAGTGAGCAAAAACTGGAAGATTTTTTTTTTTGAAGTGCTATATATGTATATGTGTCAGAGTATATATGTACACACAGATGTATGCATGGATTACAATTTGGTCATGGTTTTTCCACAGGAGTCCCATTTCATCCAGCACACAGGACAACTGGTGCTCATTCTCAAATCTTCTAAAATATTCCTTTTTTCCCCCCACTCTTCCTATATGTGGACTCATAAGCTCTCTCTTAAATGTGGATGTGTTCTTTTCCTTCTGGGCTTTTCTCAGGTGCTTGTGCTGGAATAACCTCATGGATTTCAAACACTAAAAACCTCATAGCATCTTTCAAGTAGAAGGGTAATATCCACATTTTACTGACTACTGACATAGATCTGAAGATTAAAGCCAGTAGCATCAAAAGGAAATTCAGCAGCGGAGGTACAGATTGGATGCTCTCCTTCAGGTTGACATATGGTTTCTTTAGCTGTAAAATCTTTTCTCCTCCGGTTTGCTACTCCCCCACTCTTAAAGTCTTCATGTGTCACTAACAGAGGAGCTGGGTTATAAGGAGACCAGATCACAGCCTTTCAATATCTGAAGGGAGACTATAAGAAGAAAGGAGACGGACTTCAGTAGGGTCTGCTATGATAGGGCAAGGAGAAAGGGTTTAAAATTAAAGGACAGGAGACTTAGAGGGGATAAAAGGAAGAAGTTTTTTACAGTGGGGGTGGTGAGATGCTGGAACAAATTGCCCAGCATATGATCAAAGAATATTAGGATGTTATATTTACAAAATAAACAGGAGAGTTAGGCAAAGCAGACTATGATAACAAAAGAGAATAAATAGAAGGCTTACCCCTATCCTGGGCTCACTCACAAAACACCAGCAGAGGCAATCTCCAGAAGAGATCCTTCCCCACTGGTAGCCAGCTCTTAAATAGGTCTAGGAGGGCTGGAGCCAGGCTCCACCCCTTCTGGCAGCACAGGAGAATTGCCTTCATCTGTGCTCCTCTGGCTGCCTCATGGCTTGCCTCAGGTGATCAATCAGAGGTTCAGGCCGTGACTCAGCAGTACCCATACACTCCCCCCCTTCACAGTGTGAACCAATGATCAGGTTAACTAAAGGGTAAGCTTTCCCTAATACAGAGATCCGCTATATCATGATGCTTATACAATTTTATTGTGACATGTGTTGGTACAATTCAGGATGAGTGATGATCAGTGGATGTCCATATTCTTCTATGGGCCATTGCTTGATGATGTAGCTGGAGGCATGAGGTCCTGAGGTGCATGTCCGTTCCCTCAGTCCCATGCAGACCATCACCAGGTGTTGTACGTGATCTGACAGCAACACTGGAACGCTTGATGGCATTTTGTTCCTTCCGGTCCTGAAGGCTCACAGACTCACGGGGAGTAATACAGATGTTTCAGAGGTACCAGGAGGGGAAGATCTGCTCTCCAGGGCAAGGTACAGGCCATATTTCTATCCTGGGTCAACACTTCCACTTGTACTGGGGCATGTCCTGGCCACCTGTACCACACCTTCTGGTCAGATGTCTGCGGCTGCATAACGATATCAGGCACCAAAGGTGGTGTCCTGATCTGCCACAGGGACATGATGGGGGTCCCATCAGCAATAAAGACCCGAGTGTTGATTACAATATCAGTAGGCCATGTACCTATTACTGGAGGGACTGCTGAGCCTCCCACTTCCAATAGTCTCCCCACTTGGGTCCTACCTGCACCTTCCAGGGCTTTTATTTTATGGGTACCCGGCTCTAAATTCTGAGGGGCAGGGAGCAGAATATTATTTTCATTACCAATCTGGGGTCTTACCTGATGATCACTGCCTGTAATTTGGATCCTAAGTGGGATGGCCCTTGTCGCCTACAACATTCTCAGGGCACTTGGTCTGCCATCTCAAGGTCTTTCATTCAAGTCCCACAGGTTTCATACAGTCTTTTCATCCAGCCCTGCAGGGACTGGGAGTCTGTCTTCAGGGCAGCCTTAAGAATACCATTATAACATTCGATGAGGCCTGCTCCCATTGGATTACACGGCAGGTGGAATCGCCATTCGATGTTATTTTCTTCTGCCCAGCGCTGTATTGTTGCACCAGTAAAATGAGTCCCTTGGTCACTCTCGACTTGAGGTGTCCCGTAGGCAGACATCAGTTTAGTGAGTGCCTTGATGGTATATGCCCGGTTTGCCCTTGGTACTGGATAGGCCTGCAGCAGCCCACTTGCAGTGTCAACACAGGTCAGGGCGTACCTTGCCCCCTCAGAGCGAGGAAGAGGCCCGATATAATCGACCTGCCATTGCTTGAGAGGATTGTGTCCTCTAGCAAGATGGGCTGTTGTTTCAGGCAACGATCTCGGTCTCATCTTGGAGCAAGCATCACAATCCTGGCGTGCCTGGATGATATCAGATAGTTGTATGGGCAGTCCCCATGCTTCAGCAGCTGCCCACATTGTCTTTTGTCCAGCATGCCGTAGCTTCTGATGTAACCAGCGGGCGATGTTCTCAGATGGTGAATTCTCAATCCATCGAACTTGGGCCAGCGTGTCCAGCTTCATCATTTCCTGGTGACTGTAGGGGCTGATGACCAGAAACATGGTAGACACGTACAATCCTGTGTTTGACCATATTCCATATGTCTAACCACGTCTTTGCCCCAGATTGGTCAGGCATGGATAGTCCATTCCTGAGTGGCCTGCTGTGCAATCCAAAGAGTGAGCCCCTGGTACATAGCCCAACTAACTGTGCAGATGTTTAGGATACCATCACCAGGTTCCTTGGTTATAACCATCCACATGGCTCGCATGCATGAATAGGCGACATAACCTTATTTAATTCTCTGTAATCTACTGTCATTCCCCATGTGCAATCCGACTTTCGCACTGGCCATATGGGGGAGTTATATGGGCTGTGCGCAGGTCTTATAATACCCACTTTTTCTACTTCCTGCACCATTCTCAATATTTCATCTTGCCCACCCGGGAGTCTATACTGTCTAACATTAGTAATCCGGTGCGGTTTTGACAGGCAAACAGGCCCATGTTTCACATGGCCTCTTAATATTGCCTGCACTGCCCGGATCTGATCTCTCTGATCTGGAGAGCCAGACCCCATGGAATATCTATGGCCAGGATGTATTCTTGGACTGGGGCAATAGACACCTTGTACTTCTAGGGTGGGAGACTCCCAACCGCCAGTTTTAACTGTGTTTGAGTGACAGGAATAGTCTGTCCCCCAAAACCACCAATCATCACTCTGTCCCCATCAAATTTCATTGGATCTCCATAGATAATTGAAGTTTCTGCTCTGTTGTCCACTAATGCCATAACTCTGAATATTTTTTCAGGACCAATAAATCATTAATTCTACATAGGGCATCCAGTCCCATCTGGAGGCCCTAGGGGGACTAACATCCCTTGTCACACCATGAATTGTGCTATGGCCAATTCTTTTGCTTATGGTGGCTCAGGCATTGTGGCCCGAGACACCTGAGGCAGCTTTGTTTTTTTTTTTTTTTTTCCTATTTGGAACAATGAAATCTTCTAGGTTCCATGTTGTTAGTACCCTCTCTATAACCCATACCCTTGATTTCTTAGGGTAGTTCTCGAATTTTTGATTGTCCTGTAGTTGTCTCCAGAGCTGGAGAAGGACATGGTTGGGCTGGCGATCAATCTTAGCAAATTGGACTCCAGCCCAAATTAAATCATTATACATTTGTTTTTGGGAGACCCTTATGGGTCCCAATTGAGGAGCTCAAGTAGCTGGCATTTTGGTTTTACTTGCCAGCAGGACCCCTGCTTCTTCCAACATCTGAATGTTGTGTCTAGTCCACAGGCGTTCTGTTTATCACAGGTCAGCCACTAACTGGGCAGCCTGCTGGACTACAGCTTCTGAGGCCACCAGGGGATTTGATATAGAGACTAGGGTACCGTAGAGATGAGACGGAGCTTGCTGTAGAATCAAGTCTCTCATGTATGGCCCATGTATGGCCGGACCGTTACATGTAAATGAGTCTGGGCAGGGGGCCACTGATCAGGTGGCACTCCTTGCTGGTTGGTCCTGCACTATTTTTGTTTTCTGAATTATGACAGGATGGACTTCTAGTGGATCAGTCAGAATTGCATATTCAAGATCTAATTGGGATTTTTTTATTTTCCTGATCAACGAAGTCTGTTGATTCAGGAGTCTGGTCATCATTTATTGAAGTGTTACGAACTTGGCCTAAGGGAAGATGTAAAATTAGCTTCTTCCCTGTTGATAAGCCAAGTTCTTGCTCTACTTTTTCAATATGGTCTTTCAGAAATTGATTCGCATTCTCTAAAGTATTATTTCTTATTTCAGCATGATTTAAGGCACTTAATAGTGGCCATACCACCGTGGAGGCAGCCAGTTGTCTTTCTTTAGTGATCAGCACATCCTTGCTAAGTCCCTGAAAGTAATCCACCATGCGATATGGGGAGATATTGTCCATAATGTGTAAGGGACCCGATTTTTCAGTGATAACCGCTAGCTCATAATAGGGGGAACCCACAAATCCTGGGATCTGCCCTGGAATCACTTTCTCTAGAAGAGTATTGTTCTCCTCCTTGACCCATTTTAGAAATTCCAAAGAAAAGATATGATGTAAATTTTAGTATATTTGACCTGCCTGACTCCCCAAGTGTGTAATCAAAGAATATTAGGATGTTACAATCACAAAATAAACAAGAGAGTTAGGCAAAGCAGACTATGATAACAAAAGAGAATAAATAGAAGGCTTACCCCTATCCTGGGCTCACTCACAAAACACCAGCAGAGGCAATCTCCAGAAGAGATCCTTCCCCACTGGTAGCCAGCTCTTAAATAGGTCTAGGAGGGCTGGAGCCAGGCTCCACCCCTTCTGGCAGCACAGGAGAATTGCCTTCACCTGTGCTCCTCTGGCTGACTCATGGCTCGCCTCAGGTGATCAATCAGAGGTTCAGGCCGTGACTCAGCAGTGCCCATACACCCAGAGATATGGCAGATGCTCCAAGTGTGGAGACATTCAAAGTCAGGCTGGCTCTGAGCAACTTGATCTCACTGTAGGTGTCCCTGTTCATTGCAGGGGAGTTGGACTAGATGGCCTTTAAGGGTTCCTTCCAACTCAAATGATTCTATAAAAGATCTACATTTCCACCATAGAAATTCAGTTTGTCCCCTGATCATTTAAAATGAGAAGAGGAAAGATGAATTGGAAAGGTTACACCCAAGAAAGATTCTAGTGAGTGACTACTGTGCTTGGAAACATTGTAGGGCACGTGAGAGATTGCAAACATTTCAGGTGACATAGCAGTCAGAGCACTTGAGAAGTGTTGTGTACTGCCCTCACTTGGTGGCCAGAGGGGGGGGGAAGTCAATGAAGAGAAGACAAAATCTGCAGAAATAAGAGGCTCTAAGGTGTCATGGTTCTAGGTTTTTGTTTTTATTTTGCTTTTTTATGGTTTCAGTATTCCACATCAAAACATCACGTAGTGTATGGGGTATTAAAATGTCACTGCCCCACTCCCAGGTACCAATCCCTGTACATTACAGCAGTCACGGGATCTGGCCCTTCCAGGTGGGGGCGGCGCTCTCTTGCTGCCTTGCAGTGGGTGCTGGAGGTGCTTTCCTAGCCGTTCCAAGCTTTTCAGGTTTGAATCGGTCCCGGGAACTCTCTCTCTCTTATCTTGTCTGATTTATTAATCTCAATTTCAACTAAATTGTATATATTGTGTTATTTTGCATTCCAATATTGTAGTAAAATAAGTTTTCCTCCATAGATTGTTGCCGTTGTTCTTTTCCTCCCTTCCTTCCTTCCTTCCCATTTTTGTGGGACTGGGGTGGGGGGGGAGGGCAGAGGCCTGTCGCCCCTGTCACAGACATAGATTGATCTAGTCAACTCCGTGACACTAAGGGAACAGTGAGAGCTTCTAAAGTGCAGAAAGCACAGGAAGAAGAACCGAAATGTAAACGGCTAATACAACACCAGTGTGTGAGTTGTATGGACTGCTAAAAGGGTTTAGTTGTGCATTGGGAACGGACTGAGAAAATGTGCCAATAGTACATACTTACAGTTTCACAGGGAGGTGAGAGCCTCTGCAAGGCTTCTGCAGCCTCTCTTTGTAGGTTTGCATTACTCGAGACCTCTGTTATGGGCTGAAGCATCTATCTATAGGAGGTGAAAGGGTAGAACAGCATACTGAAATGCTGTCAAGTTTTCAAACACTAAAATC